TCCCGAGTTCGATCCCCCATACAAAAAAAAAAAATAAAATAAAAATAATCATGTTGCTGGGGATTTAGCTCAGTGGTTCTGCTCCCTGCCTCCCAATTGCAAGGACCCGAGTTCGATCCCCAGTATCAAAAAAAAAAATCATGTCAAAAAAACATTATAGCTGGGCATGGTGGCCCATACCTGTTATCCCAGCACTTGGGAGGCTAAGGCAAGAGGATTGCTCCAAGTTTGAGGCCAGCCTGGGCCACAAAATGAATTCAAGGTCAAACAAACAAAGGCACTAGAACCCAGGCATGGTGCTGCATGCCTGTAATCCCAGCACTTGAGAAGCTGAGGCAGGATTGTGAGTTTGAGGCCAGTCTAAGCTACACAGTTGAGTTCAAGGTCTGCCTGAACTACAGAGTGAGACCTTGCCTCAAAAGACCAAAAAGTAAATAAATAAATAAATAAATAAATAATAAAAAAGAGGGTAGACTCAGTTCAAAAAGAAACAAGGAAAAGGAGCAACTGACGTCTGGTGGCTGTTTGATGATGGAGGGCTAACGATCCTCATCCCCTATACCTTGACTCTTAGAAAAAAGTGGAAAGACTAAATTATGAATCTATGTGGGAGGGAAGATCAACGGAACTGAAGAAGAAAAACTTGCAATGGCTTCTCTTCTGAGCAAATTTAGGATAAAGTTTGCAGACATCCACATCATCGGTGACATCAACATCAAGCCCAACAAAGAGAGCTGAAAAGCCTTTGAAGAGATGATTGAACCATATTGTCTCCATGAAAGCTGCAAAGATTCAACAACCGCTGAGAAATTAAAAAGAGAAACTCCGTGGAAAATTACAGATGCAGAGCTGGAAGCAGTCAAAGAAAAGAGTCACCACCAGGTTTGACTGAATGAGCTCCTCCAGGAGCACTTGAGAGTGGCCAACCTCATCATCCTAAGCCTTTCCGTGGCGAGAAAAGGATCCATATCAGATTTGTTGTATATGGCTTGGCTAGAAATACTCACCAAGAACCTCCCTCCTGTCTTACTGGTTAGAGGAAATCACAAAAATGTTCTGACATTTTATTCTTAAAACATGAAAAGAATACATTTTAACTGGATGTATGAAAAATTAAAAAACATGTTTCAGTACTAAAAAAAAAAAAAAGAGGGTATTAGAAATTTGGAAGGAACATAAATTCACCATTTGTTAAAGCACATATGATAGTACTGAAGAAAATTGTAGCACAGGTGTTTTTTTTTTTTTTCTGGTACCGGGGATCGAACTCAGGGACCTAGTCAGGCAGCAATACCACTGAGCTAAATCCCCAGCCCAGCACAGGTGTATTTTTTTTGTTTGCTTTTGGTACCAGGGATCAAACTTGGGAACTTGGGCTTTCCAGACAGGTGGCAGAACCACTGAGCTAAATCCCCGGGCCAGGTGTATTTTAAGTTCACCTAACTTTGAAGTTAACCTAGTACTATTTCCTCACCATAACACTATACTCAAACTTTTCCTACAATCATCTAGAACTATTAATATCTTGATGCATACTATGTGTCTATGTTACATTCACTGTATATTTGCACTACATACAATACTCCACACATTCTGTATTTGCAACTTTGCTCATTAAACCTTATTTGTAACTTCAAAAAAAATTAATACTTTTAGCACTTTCATGCTCATTCCCAGATACAGTGGCTAACAAGAGGGTGGGCAAGAATGTGGAAGAATTAGAACTCCTAGCCATGCCCATCGGTGCATGTCTATAATCCCAGCACTCTGGGAAGCTGAAGCAGGAGGTTCACAAGTGTAACCCCAGGCTGGGCAATTTAGTGAGACCCTGTCTCAAAATTTAAAAAGGGCTGGAATGTAGCTCAGTGAGAAAGCCCTGGGATCATTCCCCAGTACCAAAACCAAACAAACAAAAACTCTAGTACACTGCTGGTGGAATTGTTAAATGGTTCAAGTGATGTAGAAAACAGCTGGTACCTCCTCAAAAAGCTTACCATATGACCCAGCAATTCTAGGTATATAACCTAAGAACTGAAAACGGACTCGAGCACTGTAGCATTATTCACAACTACCTAACAGGTAGAAATAGCACAGATGAGTGGACAAACAAATGTGATATATACAAAAAGTGAAGTGTTATTCAGCCATAAAGAAGAATCAGCTTCTGGGGCCGGGGATTTAGCTCAGTGGTTTTGCCGTCTGCTGTGCAAGCGCAAGGACCCAAATTCCATCCCCGGTACCAAACAAAAAACAGAAACATACAAAAAAAGAATCAACTTCTGTTATAGGCTGTAATATTTAAGAACCCTGGAAACCTGCTAAGTGAAACAAGCCAGATGCAAAGGCAAATAATTGTATGATTCCACAAAATGAATTATCTGGAATAGGCAAATTCACAGCTAGAAAGTAGATTTGAGACTAATCAGGGGAATGGGGAAAGGAAAATGTTAACAGAGTCTATAGGATAATGGAACAGCTCTGGAAATACAATGTACTTTTGATTTTTTGAGACAGGGTCTCACTATGTAGTGCAAGCCAGCCTTGAACTTGCAGTGATCCTGCTGCCTCAACCTCCCAAGAGCTTGGATTACAGATAAGCATCACCGTACCTGGCAGCAATTTTTGTTATATTTAAACATCCTACCAATGTTTTTATTGTATAGAAAGGAGCTCTGCACACAGGATTTTTACTCCCTTATCTGCACTAATTTTTTAAAAATAGAAATCAAAGAATTGCTTTCAATTAAAATTACAGAAGAGTTGTTTTCATTTGAAACTATCAGTTAAGACCCATATATGACAATTAAGTGAATAAACTACAAGAGCAATTGTAGGTCCATCACAATTTTTTGTAATCACAATTAGAAAAGCTTATCAGTACTGAATTTGTAATTATGAGTAAATTTTGATACATAGGTGAATTCACAAATACAGAATCTGTGAATAACAAGTCCTGACCGGTTTTTACTTTATTTCCCTTCTCTTTTGTTATGTATTATTTTATTTTATTTTATTTTTTGGGGGGGTACTGGGGATTGAACTCAGGACCTTGGGCTTGCGAGGCAGGCACAGTGCCACTGAGCTAAATCCCCAGCCCTATTATGTATTATTTAATGAGTCATCCCTTAATGACAGGGGACTATAAGTGGACACCTGAAACTATAGATAGTACTTAATCCTATTTATACAGTATTATACTTTTCCCTATATGTATGCACCTAAGATAAATTTTAATTTATAAATTAGACACAGTAAGAAATTAACAAAAATAATAAAACTAGAAAAATGACAGTAATATACTGTGAGATAATGGCCTCTCAAAATATTTTATTGTATTCATTCTTCCTGTGACAATGTGAGATATGATGAAATGAAGTGAATGATGTAGAGGCACTGTGACATAGCCTTAGAGTACTAGTAAGGGTTACCTGAACACACAAGTATGTGATATCTTGACAGCGGATCCAATAACCAAGAAGGCCACTAAGTAACTAACAGGTAGTGTATACAGTATTGATACAATCGACAGGGGGATGATTCACATCATAGGTAGAACAGTGTAATATTTCATGAAGCCATCAGAATTTAAAACTTATGAATTGTTTATTTCTAGAATTTTCCATGTAATATTTACAGACCATAGCTGACAACAGGTAACAAACCATGAAAAGCAAAACTACATATAAGGTAGGACTACTATTTATCAGTAGGGATTCCAAGATTCTTATTTGATTATAATCTAAAATTATATATTTTGATGTTCAAACTGTCCTAATTTGGCCAATAGATATCTCTTTAAGCTAGCTCTCATGTTCTTATAACAAAGCTCCAACATTTGAAGACTTCACCACCCCCTCCAATAATTCTTTGTTCCTCCTCCTTAAACACTTTTCCCCACTTAGGGATCCTCTCCTATTTATTAGTGATCAATGGAAGGCATAGATAAGAATAGAAAAAAATGAGATACTTAAATCCATCAGATCATAAATACTTACATGAAGAACTGTGAACCATTTGTATCTTTTCCTCTGTTGGCCATTGACAAAAGAAATTCTTTGTTGTGTTTAACAGCAAAACTCTCATCTAAAGAAAAGCAATGTTTTCAGTTAAATTTTAAGTATAACTTCCAAAAATTCACTTTCAAACCATTTTTTAACAGATGTATTTTTTAGTGCCAAATATAAGTTAGATAACAAACTTAGGTTATGAAATGAGTCAATTTCTCCCATTTTTAGTATTTAAAATTTTCTATCCCTTGTATACCTACCTACCTTGGGATAGAACCCAGCACCACATACACACAAAGAGCAAGACAGAATCCAACAGGATTTTTTTGTATTCCACCTCTTGTGAATGTGGAGAAGCACACATAATACTATTTACATTGGACTCTTTAACTTAAACTCTCTATAAAATCATTAAAAAGATAGAAAAAAAAAAAAGATAGTAACTTGGGGCCAGGGATTTAGCTCAGTGGCACCATGCCTGCCTTGCAATGCAAGGTCCTGAGTTCGATATCTGGTACTAGAGAAAAAAAAAGAAAGAAACTTGTCTTTGAAACTGGGATTAGAATATGAGAACAAGACATGTGGAATTTGAAATGAAATTTTACTGAAAACCAAATGTTAAAGACGGAAGCCATTAGTCACACAATCACATGCCTATAATATTCCAAATAATCTTCATTTCACATCAATAAATTTCAGACAGAACACTTAAATTTTAAAAAATTAGCCAAATTTTAGAATGTCAAAAAGATTTTATAAAATTTTCATAGAAAACACCTGTGGTGGTGCACACCTATAATTCCAGCACTCAGAAGGCCGTGGCAGGAGGATCACGAGTTCAAGGCCAGCTCAGGCTACAAAGTGAGCTCAAGGCCAGCCTGAACTACATAGCAAATCCCTGTCTCAAAAACAAAAAAACCCACAAGAACATTGTAAAAATTTGGATATTTTTACCACGAAATACCCCGAATCTCCTTTAATAAAGGTTAAGACAACACTATAGAAGTTCCTATTCTAGCACTACAATTCTAAGAGTTGAGTATACATTACAGAAATTCTTCAAATAATATGGTGTTACTAATGCCCTAAAGCCAGAATAAATCTCATCTATACAAAAACTGTATACATAAAATTTTTTAAGTGAACCTTTATATTAGAAGGTAGTTGGTTAATAGTTATGCTATTTAATGAATAAAATATTAAAACCATAATTTAAATGTAAACATTTTTACCTTCAAAAAATCCTCCATAAATAGATTCTCCTCCTCTTCCATTTCCTAAGAATAAAAAACACATGACTCTTAGAACTCACGAGATACTAAACCCCTTGAAAGTGCTACAAAAACAAAATATTCCCTACAAAGTAGTTCAAATGATTCTGAACCAACGATTCTTAAAAGATCACAGAGAATCACATAATTTGCGGGCTACAGTGCTGCACACATGTAATTCTAGGTCTGTGGGAGGCTGAGGTGCAAGGATCACAAGTGAGACCAGCCCTGGGGAAATGACTGGGACTCCAGCTCAGAGCAGCTCAGTGCATCAAGTGCAGCTCAGTGAGGAGCACCTGCCTAGCACATGTGCAATCCTGGATTCTATCCCCAGTACTGGGCCCCCTCAAAGATATTGATCTAATGTCAATGACAAGATCCCAAATTTTTTTGTCTTTTTCTTTTCTTTCTTTTTAGAGACAGGGTCTTGCTATGTATTCCAGGCTGGCCTTGGACTCATTCTGTAGTCCAGGCTGGCCTCGAACTTGCAGCAATCCTGCCTCAGGCTCCCAAGTGCTGGGATTATAAGTATGTGCCACCATGCCCAGCCCAATTTATTTTTTTCCCCTTATGACACTGTGGTGAGAATGTGACAAAGCCTATTAAGGATTCACTAACACAAGAGCTTTCAAATTGTAATGATTAGCATTGACAAGTACTTTAACAGGAATTACATTTTTTTCAAAGCATTTTTAAGAAGTATAATATTTATTTAATAAAAATACATAGGTAAATCTGTAGTAAAGATTACCAATTCAGACAAAACTCAAACACATACACTGACTAATTTAGAGATAGAGTATTTTGAATCCAGAAGCACATTTCTAAAACCAATTCATAAAACAAAGTTTTGAAATTGGGCTAGGAGGGCCAGGGATTTAGCTCAGTGGTTTCACCGCCTGCTGCGCAAGCACAAGGACTCAAGTTCAAGCCCCTGTTCCTTAAAAAAAAAAGAAAAGAAAAAACAAAAGGGGCCAAGGATTTAGCTCAGTGGTTCTGCTTCCTGCCTCGCAAGAGCAAGGTCCCCGAGTTCAATCTCTGGTATCAAAAAAAAAAAAAAAAAGAAAGAAAAGAAAAGAAAATGAAATTGGGCTAGGAAAGTAGCTCAATGGGAGACCAATTGGGTAGCATGTACAAGGTTCTGGGTTTGATTGCCAAAACCAGGGGGGAAAAAAGTGTAATTATCTTCTATGTGCTTTCTTCTTTTATATATTTCCAAGAATACTTGGAAGTACCTGACCAAAGATTAAATGGAGTGAGTACAAAACCAGACTAAGACTTTTCAAGACTTATCTAACTTTATGATCTATATTAAAAATATAAATATATGATTTTCTTTTCTTGAATCAGTCTTACCTTCACTGAAGTCACCACCCTGAACCATAAAATCCTTAACAACTCTGTGAAAAAGACAACTCTTATAATGTAATGGCTTCTGAGTTGATTTCCCTGTTCCCTTTTCTCCTGTAAAGAAAAATCAGCACATTTAGTAGATAAAAAATAAAATGTATAAAACAAAATTATGATTTTGCCCTGTAAAATAGTCCCTCTCTTGAACTTTATAGACTTTCTTCAACCAGAGAATTTTCATTCCTTTCAGAATTTTTTTTTAAATTCTTTAATAAAATCTTGAGATTTTTCTGGAGTATAGAAATCAATTTCAGATAAAATGCCAGTATAATTAATATTTCTAAGAATTATTAGGCCAGCTGAAAATGTAAACAAACCTGTACAAAGACAACGAAAGTTCTCGCATGTTTTGGGGCACACATCAGAAAATAATTCAAAGACCACTCTTCCAGCTGTAAAAGAGAGCAGTTGGTATAAGCTTCTTTAGTAATTTAAAATACTAAATACTAATATACAAATGTTAACTATGGTAGGAACTTCAATAGTCTTACCAGGTTGATTGTTAATGGCAATATCAAAAAAACATCGAGGACGCTGAACCTTTATTCCCATGGTTCCAATATTTCAATCTGTGGGTGAAATACAGTTTCAGGCAAGCAGACTAAACCCGCAAAGTTTTTTTATGCATACTTGAAAAAAACAATTCTATAGAGCATAAACTAGAAATGTAGTTTAAATTTATTTTTATATTTCCATGAGGTAAATCATATGATTATCACTTGCTTTTCAGAGATTAGATTGCATTTTGTGAGGAAAACAGAAAAGACCTGAGCCAGGTGTGGTGCCAGACGCCTGTAATCCCAGCACTTGGGAGGCCAAGACAAGAGGATGGCTGAGAGTTCAAGGCCAGCTTGGGCTATATAGTGAGTTCAGAGCCAGACTGAAGTACAAAGTGACCCTGTCTTGAAAAAAAAAAAAAAAGACCTGAAAGATGAGACTTAAAAACCAGGCTTTGGGCTGGGGATTTAGCTCAGTGGTTCCCACCTGCCTTGCAAGCTCAAGGTCCTGAGTTTGATCCCCGGCCAAAAAACAAACAAACAAACAAACAAAAAACACCAGGCATGGTGGTGCATGTTTGTAATACCAGCACTTGAGAGGTTGAGACAGAAGGATAACGCCAAGTTTGAGAGCAGCTTGGGCTATATAGTGAGTTCAAGGCCAACCTGGACTCCATAGGGAGGCCCTGTCTCCAAAACCAAAAACAACAACAACAAATAAGGATGAGGCTCAGCCATTACCATATAATCCAGTTTCATGTCAGCCAAATAGAGACCACCAACCCAACCAAAATTATATTAAGTCTATATCACTAGTGAATTGAACAGGTAGATTACCTTTAAATTGAAAAAAATAAAACATGATAAAAAATGATAACTGAGCCAAGCCAATCTTTTTACTCCCAGAAAACAAAAGTGAGAGTTCTGATTAAAACAAGACTCTTTTGACAATAAAACATACAAATTCCTAAACAATACCCAAAACAAATCATCTACAAAGAAAGAAAGCAGGGCTTTTTTTTTTTTTAAAGACAGAGTCTCACTATGTAGCCCAGGCTGGCCTCAAACTCGCAGCAATCTTCCTGCCTCAGGGTCCTGAGTGGCAAGTACAGTGTAACATTCTTCATCTACATAGCAGATACCCTATTATTTCATAGACATTTTTCTGATAAGGCAATTATATGAAAGATTTAAAATACTGAATTGTTATACTTGGTGGAAGACAACAGAGTAAGGCGAAGTGCAGATAAAGCAGTAAGTATAAATAGCATCCAAACTGACACATTATAAAAGTGACAATTTCATCTACTCAGAAGATACTTCTGCAGTGGACATGCTTTTATGAAAATTATCATACCTAACTAAGCTGGTGGGTCAGCAAAAAGTACATGCTATTTTAGGTCCAGTGAAACTCTGATTTATATTCTCTAACCAGAATACATTCTTCCCCTTATCATTTCTTTTTTTCTAATGCTAGAACTGAACCAGAGACCTCCCCATGGCTAAGCACATGCTCTACCACTGAGCCACCCTTAATTTAAATTCTTTACTAAGAGAGCTATAATACAGATTCCCATGCAGTATAGGAAATAAGATAGGTAGATCCAGTGTGCATTTTACAGTTTCTCCTTGGTATGGTTTGGTTAAGTGTTTCCCAAAAGTCCATAGACTTGGCCCCAAGCTGGTACTACTGGAAGACAGTAGAACCAATAGGGGGAAAGGCCTAGCTACGGTTTGGGGTCTAAATGTGCCCCCAAAGCCTCATGGAGTCATAAGGCTTTTTCAGAGGTGGCTGAATCTAGAATGTATGATGTAAGGGTATGTGATTACTAAATCAGTCCACTGATTGGTTTGCCACCACCCTAATCTCACTAGTCTGGATAAAAGGGGCAGAAAGGTAGTGATAAGGTTCCCTGCTTGCTTTGCTACTTTTGGTCTGCCATGAACTACTTCTCCTCTATGATGCTTATCTGCTATGCTACCCTATCTTGGGGCTGATTATGGACTGGCTCTATAAACCGTGAGCTTATATAAACTTTTCTTTCTTTAACTTTGGGTGTTGGCTATTTTGTCTCGGCAATGAGAAAGTAAATAAGACAGGTCTAGTGGGAAAGAATCGTGGAGCCCCAGTCTTTTTTCCTTTGCTTCCTGACGTGGATGTATTTTTCTTTTTTTTTTCTTTTTGGTACCGGGGATCTAACTTGAGTCCTTGCACTTGCGCAGCTGGCAGCAAAACCACTGAGCTAAATCCCTAGCCCGCGTATTTTTCTTTTTTTATGGATGTATTTTTCTGCCATTCACACTCCTGCCATGATGTGCTGCCTTGTCAAAGGCCCAAAGTAAACTGACCCCCGAAATCTTGGACTGGGATTTCCAAAAATGTGGGTCAAAATAAAGCTTTTTCTTCTACAATTACCTCACTTCAAGTATTTCATTATAATAAACAAAGCTGACATAATCCTGGTGAGAACATTTCCCAAAATTGTTATTGTAATAGCACAACTGATGCTGATATAATCCACCTATCTTAATTCACATTTTCCCAGTTTTACTAATACTCATCTAGCTCTACACAATTTGTTTCTTTGTTTGTTTTTTGAAGACATGGTCTATGTAGCCCGGCTGGCCTTGAACTCACAGTTATCTCCTGACTCAGCCTCCCGAGTGCTGGGATTACAGGTATGCGCCACCATGCCCAGCTAGTTCTACACAATTTTATCACTGTGTAGGTTCACAGATCTATCCTTACGCTATCCCTACACACTCCAAAAACACAAGCTCAGTGATACAGCACTTGCCCAGCACTAAGACCAAGGTTAAGATCCTTAACATAGGGGAAGCCAGGGATGGGACAAAGGCAAGAGAGAAGGGAATGACAATAACCCTTGGCCCAAATTACCAATGATTTGAAAAATACAAATTACATTTATTTATCCATTTGTTTAATGCTGATTATATGAATTAAGGAGTAAATTATATACAAGATTATGTTGTACTCAAATTCAGCCCAAGTGTTGTGACATTCATTTTTGAAATTACTACGTGAAAAAAATAACATTTTCTTGTAACTTCCTCCATTTTAAATTTCTAACAAATATAATGAATAATGGAATTTTGCTTTATATAAAACAAAGCTAGAAAGCATACCTTTCAATGTTCCAGCATATTAGACATAGATTTGCTTAAGGAGAAAAAAAGCTAGCGGCAGAGAAAAATTAAGATGTGTTTTGGGTATGTATCAACTCCCCATGATGAATGTAATCATTATGTACCGCATGCATATACTAATAAAAAAACTTTAAAAATAAAAAAACTAGCAATATTAGTATTCCACCAACTTGGTTGCACTATTTTATGTGCCTAATATTCAATTGCTATACATATGTATATATGCTATACATATATATGCTATACATATATACATATGTATGTATAGTATGAGGGGGGCCGGGGATTTAGCTCAGTGGTTCTGCCACCTGCCTCGCAAGCGCAAGGACCCGAGTTCAATCCCCGGTACCAAAAAAAAAAGAAAAAAAAAAACAACTTTCATGAACATCTGGACGGGGATACTCTGAATCTACAAATACAAGTAAAGTGTCCTATTTTAAAGAAAAACATTAAATAAATACTTATTATGTGATCATCTTTTATCATCAAAATAATTTTTACAGGCCCTCTTAGAATATCTACTTTGAGGAAAGAGAAAGTGAAATTTAATTATTTACGTTTTTCTCCATACAAACATCTACAGTTATCTAACCGCAATGTACTTTTCATTATATTATTGTATTTCAATAAAAGATTTGCTTGTTAAAAATATGGCGGGGCATGGTTCCTGCAATCCCAGCACTTGGGAGGCTGAGGCAGGAGGATCCAACCCTGTGAGTTCAAGGCCAGCCTGAACTACATATCAAGACCCTGTCTCAACAAACAAACAAAATTAAAAATAAAACTCTTTATTCTCCTACCCTCATTCCAAGTGCTCAGTAAATACTATCCATGTCCAAACAAAGACTGAAAACTTGGAACTACAGTATCTTTGTTTCACTCCCCTCACACCCCATTATCCAAACCTTTGGCAAGTAGATGGCTCCATTATCCAAACCACTAGGAAGCAGATGACTCTGGCTCCAAAGTTTTCCCAAATACTCTTCACTACCATTAATATCTGAACTATTACAAGAGCCTTCCAAATGGCTTCTTTGGTTTTACTCATTTAAAATATGAAGCTTGTTTCATTACCCTTCCTAAAAATGTCCTTACCATCAATTAACTGAAATGTCTTAGCACAAATTCTAGGAGTCTGAACTAGTACTGCCCAACAGAAGTATTATTAGCATCTACTGATCTGTACAACCTCACCTCTGTTTTCCTGCACTTTGCTTCAGCTACATTGTCATTCTTGCTGTTCTTCAAACACCACCCCCCACTCTCTCCTAATGACCTCTGCATTTGTTGTTCCCTGTGAGTGGAAGGCTTTTTGACACCAGATCTTCATACAATCATCTCTGATTTAATTCACCATTGAAATATCACCTGTTTGGAGACCGACCATGCCACTCTACAAAAAAAAGTAAACCCCATTCTCTAACACTTAATATCCTCTTGTTCTGTTTTATGTTTCTTCCCAGCACTCATTGCTAATTGGTACTTTATAATAAATAAATTCAAGTTTTTAAAATCTATCTCTTCTCACGAGAATACAAGCTTCATGGTCTGACACAGCTTTCAAGCCTTGCTCCCCTCCTAATTCCTAATGCTACAAACAGTGCTTAGCATATGGCAGGAAATCAGTATTCACCAAGTGAATGAATAAATTTGAGAGGATAGGGATACAACATTGTCCCAGGTGTGGCGGTGCATGCCTGTAATGCAAACACTGAGGAAGCTGGGGCAGGAGGACTGCTCTAAGTCTGAGACCAGCCCGGGCTCATGCAAAGTACAAGACCAGCCTGAAGTACATAGCATGACTGACTAAAAACAAACAAAAACCACAAAAAAAGAATGAGGAAGGAGGAGGAAGGAGAGAAGAAATGGAGGAGGAGGAGGAGGAGGAGAAAAGGAAGGAAGGA